AGAGAGAGAGAGAGAGAGAGAGAGAGAGAGAGAGAGAGGCCATGGCAAGTTTTCTTTTTTAAATACTGCCCTAAATGGATGTCTGACATCCCTCTCACAATCCAGGACTGCTGGATCCCAACCGCTCGCCTTTCTGCCTGCCTGATTGCCCCTAACCTCTTCTACCTGCCAGCCTGATCACCCCCTAACCACTCCCCTGCCAGCCTGATTGATGCCTAACTGCTCCTCTGCCAGCCCGATTGCCCTAACTGCCCTCCCCTGCAGGCCCAGTCACCCCTAACTGCCCTACCCTGCAGGTCTGATTGCCCCCAACTGCCCTCCTTTGCAGGCCTGGTCCCTCCCAACGGCCCTCCCATGCTGGCCATCTTGGGGTGGCCATATTGTGTGTTGGAGTGATGGTCTATTTGCATATTGCCTTTTTATTATATAGGATACTATAATAAAAGTTTTGCAAATATGGTCTTTCTCAATCAAAATATTCTACTGTAGTCACTCTTCTTGTGATGATCTGAGATGATAAAATGCCATGGGATGAAATGAAGTGAGGTCCATGAGACATTATCAAGTAAAATAAGGGTTACTTGTACACAAGAACAGCGATACTGAGACAGTTGGTCTGATAACCAAGATGGCTACGACAATCTATATACAGTGTGGGTACACTTTGGACAAAGGCATGATTAAAGTCCTGGGGGACACAGAGCCGATGGCACAAGAATTCATCATGTTACCCAAAACTGCAATTTAAAACTTATAAATTGTTTATTTCTGGAATTTTTCATTTAATGCTTTCAGACTGTGGTTGACCACGGGTAAGTGAAACCACAGAAAGTGAAACTATGGACAAGGGGGCACTACAGTATGTAAAGGTGAGAGACTAAAGAAATATTAATGGCCCTAACCAGTTTGGCTCAGTGGATAGAGCATCGGCCTGCAGACTCAAGGGTCCCAGGTTCAATTCTGGTCAAGGGCATGTACCTTGGTTGTGAGTACATCCCAGTGGGGAGTGTGCAGGAGGCAGCTGATCTATGTTTCTCTCTCATCGATGTTTCTAACTCTCTATCCCTCTCCCTTCCTCTCTGTAAAAAATCAATAAAATATATTTTTTAAGAAAAGAAATATTAATGAAGAGAGTGAGTGATTCTTGAATGTGTACTAATTCTTAGGTTAATTAGAACATGTCGTTAAACAAAACCTCTTTGTTTCTTGATCATGAATATTAGCAGTATAATCAAGAAAATGTGTGGTTTCTTTACTTTATACATTATCTTTCTTTCCAAAGTCCTCAAGTTTATTCTTTGTCATCTGCAAGTAAAAAAAAATCACCCATTTCTGGTGAAATTACTTTAATTTATCAATAACTTAAAATGTATTTGGAATCTTGGAAGACTGAATGTGCAAGCTTCAGGACAGTGTTATATTCACTTTTAAAATGTAAACTTTATTCACTCCTGAATCTCAGCAGACGTAACAGTAGCTGATACACTAAAACATATTTGGTGAATGAAAAACTTAAGAATAGTAGCAGAAACCTAAAATATTGAGTGAACAAGAATGAGTGAAAAGTTCCACATAGAAAACAGTCAAAACAGGTCACAACCTATTTGAGTCAGTTTTAAAAATCAGAGATCAGTAGCCTGAAAAAGAATTTGATCTTCAAATGAGCATTACTTTTGTATTTATTCAATATATTTAAGGTGAAGGATTATTTACTAAATTTTAATTTATTAAAAATGAGACTGAAGCCGAAAACCGGTTTGGCTCAGTGGATAGAGCGTTGGCCTGCGGACTGAAAGGTCCCAGGTTTGATTCCGGTCAAGGGCATGTACCTTGGTTGCGGGCATATCCCCAGTAGGAGATGTGCGGGAGGCAGCTGATCGATGTTTCTCTCTCATCGATGTTTCTGACTCTCTATCTCTCTCCCTTCCTCTCTGTAAAAAATCAATAAAATATATTTTAAAAAAATGAGACTGAAGAGTAGGTTCACTTATATTTTGCTTTTACCGAAAACTCTGTAAAATAGTTAGGATGGTTAAGAAAAGAGAATGAGAGCATGTGTATGTCGATTACTGTCATTAAATCAATATAGGAACAACAATAAAATCCAAGTTTCTAGATTAAAAGATTTCATAGAAGATAAATTTCTGGAGCCTAACATTCCTTCAAATATTTTTAAAGAGAAGTTTATCAGCATTCCAAAAGCACTATCTTATGGTTTAGCCTAATAGTGACTCCATTAAATAGAGGAAATGATTTAAACTCCATCATTTTAGACCCGTGCATATTCATTTAGTCATATTGGACTATTTTGTTCTTGTTGTTGTTTTAATGCATACAATTTAACAAATGAGTGTTTTCATGAACTATATGAGTATAGTATTCTGACATTGGAAATTATGAGCTGAATTCAACAAAGGAATCTGATTTACAAACTTTTTATTGCATAGTTTCTGTCTCTGCATTTTAGTATGTAAATGACATCCCTATTTATTATAGTCAGCTATTTTTAAAACTTAACTACCAGTTTTAACAATAATTATTATATTTATAGAAAACTAAGTAGATGCAATTTGTTATTCTCAAAGTTGCAGCTTTACTATAAATAAAGGTGGTAATTATCATAGGAAAACTATCATATAGTTTGCATATGAATGAACAGAGCACATGAGTGACAATGCACCTGTCCAGGTTGTGGACAGTCCCCTGTTAGGGTGTGTATGGGAGGCAACCATTTAATGTTTCTCTCTCTCTCTCTTTCTCTTCCTATCTCTCTCTAAAAATTAAAAAATAAAATCACCGCAATGATTACTGTATACTAAGCAATGATTAAACAAGATTAGGAAATGTAAATGACACATTTCTAATCAGTAGAAGCAATTGTTAAATTATTTTCCATAGCACTATTTTCTTAGGTAAGGTTTTAAGTGCAGAATTCTATCCTAGGATACTATCTCTGGAGAAGATACTATCAATATCTACATATTTCTCCCTTTCAGTCATTTGACTAGTCTTTTAAGGTACAGTATTCATAGTCTGGATCATGTTTATACTAAAGCTAACTTGAAGAATATCTCAGGGTTTACAGATTATTTAAGCTCATATGTGCTTTGTTTGACATTTTCAAGATTCCTCCTCTTTTTCTTTGTCAATGTTTCCCTCTCTCCTTCTGCTGCTTCCTGAAATCATCTTCCAAATAAGCTACTTACACTAAAATACTTGCCCCTGGATCTACTTTGAAGTAAACTGACCTAAGACAGAGGTATTCATAATTGGAATTTACATGATAATATGTGTAAACCAAC